ATCCCTAACCCCCCCCCCACCACACACACCCCCCCCCACAAAAAAATTCTACCCCCCCGCCTCCCCCCAGCCCCCCCGCGGTCTTTTTTGGGGGGGGGGGGGGGGGGGGGGTTAGTATTAAACGTTATTTATTTGAAATATGTTCTCGGCTGAAGAAAACATTTGTTATAAAAAGGATAGAAAATATGTCATGCTTGTATGGAATGATAACTTTAATCTATTTACCAATTTATTGCTAATAACTGATGTTAGTACAATGTAGTTAATAAAGTTTATTGATAAATTGGTAGCCTCCTGTTTTCGGAGAGAAAAGATGTCTGATGAATATATGTTTCAATTCAAAACTTCTTTCTTCAATCATATATTAATGTAATATGATGGAAGTGAATTAAAAAATGTAGCCATGATGTGCCTTCTTTTACGTTGTAGATCATGTCACTGGTAGTAAAGTTGAAAGTGCTTCGTTTGTCATTATAGTTTATTTTTATGCGGATATATAATAAAACACTACTTTTATGGTAATTATAGTTTAACATCCGCTTGCTTTTCCCCGAAAAAATACATTAATTTTGAAATAAATTGAGAAAAAAAAATTATGCAAAAAAATGACATTGCATGCTGTATACTTGTTTATTTTTTTCTTCTTCTCGACAAATTCTAATGTAACAGAATATAATAATAATATAACCGGGATAATTATAAATATATCAAATAAATCGATACAAGTCCGCATACGTATGAATTAAGCAAATACAGAGACAAAAAGAAGAAAAAAACACATAAGTGACAACAACGTCAAAAATAACGAAAAATACAAAAAAAAACAAATATACAAGAAACAAAAACAAACAATCCACCGAGTTTTTGCGTATGTTATTTGCTTTTTTAACGTGCTGGTAAAACTTGCGTTGTTAAAGAATTGGATGCAGTAAATAACAAATTTTGATGTAAATGTAAATTCATACCCAAAACAGATCGAACATCACGACAAAATCTTAATGCATCTAAAAATGGTAATAGACTTAGTAAAGAGGTATCAGTTGGATCAAAAAACCAAGATTTAATTGGTATGGCATTCAATGGATATGATCGATAAGCAATTGGTGAATTATCCAAAATAAATATCCGGGATAGGTCATCATTAATTGCTGCTAAATCTTTTGAATAAGCACCAAACTCTAACGTACAATGCTATAATGAAAAAAAAAAGCAAAGCATAATTATCTGTCTGATTTTTAGCTTTATCGATCAATAAATCTTTCATTCACTAAACTGGATGCATAGCAGAAATTCATGCATATTTTCATCAACTTTCAGTTACCTGTCTATAATATCTTCGATTTAGTATATTTCGATTGTTATCTAATTTATCAGCAACAGCTGCACCATAGATTTCCATTGATGCTGTAAATACCACTAGTTCGTACCATTTACTCACCTAAACAATAAACAAGAAACAGTAGTAAATTAAACAATGACAAGACACTGCAATTTATCGTATCAATTTCGGTGAATAAATGATTGCTTACAACAACAAAAAACACTTTTATATCAACATAAATAAAGACTATTCGCTGAGAGTTCAAATGTGCATGATATATCCTCTTGAAAATAAACATAACAAAAAGATTTAACTTACAATTTCTAAAAAATAGTCAACATGTGGCCTTTTGTAAACAAAAAATCGTACCGGATGTCTCTCAATTTCAACCTAATAACAAAAAAGCAAACGTTACTAAAATAGATCATAAGATCTATAAATCAAGACGCATACCCGAATAATAAAATCGGGTGAACCTGTTGGTTTGACAGTTACTACTCTACTAAGCCCATCATGATGTGAATGAATTAATGTTTCATCTAAGTCTAAGACGAGAATTTTTTTTGGTAAAAAATCTAAAAATTATAAACAAAAAATTAACAACTGTTAAGTAAAAACATTTAATGCACATACGTAGTCTATGAGTGGATAATGGAGATAGTGGACAATCGTAATATTTGACGGCTTGAAACTGGATCAACTACAAAAATGTAAGACAAAATAAATAATATAACAATAACAAATAGAAAAAACCAATAACTCTTAGCTATGGCAGAGTACCAGGCTAGACTAAACAGAGATCGCGGAACCATGGGAGCCGTGGGTGCCTTGGTCTCACAATCATTCCGCCGCCTCTGCAGACAAAACTCCTACACCCTCAGTTCTAGGCATGTACCAATTATGCAACTATTGTCTAAATATCTAGGGAAAATTATTGTAATGCGATTACTAAGAATTACCGCGAGCTGCGGAACATCTCATTTTGTAGACAACTTTAACAAAAAACTTTAACCTTAATTATGACACAAATATGAGCGATCTAGAATACCATAAGTGTATATGATACCTAATCAGTTATATAACTGTTCGCATCTCTTCAGCAATTGATTAAAACTCTTCTCTTGGTTCATTCTTTAATTTTTCGGTGCAGATAGATAGACCAAAAATTTTTCTTGAAAAATGAGACTCTGACTCGCAAGTCAGAGTGACTTTCAATAATCGCGTTATAAAAAATGTGCAGATACCTTAGAAAACAGTCACAAATAACTGTTCCATAACTATCTAGTTAAGCTTATGCATCTTGTGTGAGAATAAAACGACTTACTTTTTTCTTTGACATTCTTACTGATACATATAAACACGTCCATATCCTGAAGAATAACAGTAACAATCTTCGAATGTTCAATAAGAGAAACAACCATAGTTTTGACGTTAATATACAAAATTGTCTGATCGCTTTTAACAATAAACCCAAAATACTTAAGGTCGGTTTTTCATTATTTGACCCACGTGCAGTCGATGTTGTCCATTGCGATTCCATTGTTAATTCACCACATTTAGTCGAGGATATGTAGTAGAAAAGAAGAACAACAACATATAAAGAAAATTTCCGTGTTTAATTTAATCATACGAGCGGAAAAAAGACACAAACTAGATCTTCAAAAAGACAAACAAGTGATTAGCCGAAATAAGAACTAATGTTTATTTCTTCTTTCTAATGGCTTGACAAGTCAAGAAAATCATCTAAAACTTCTAATCCCAATTTGACAAGAAAAACTACTATGATATATCATTTGAGCCTTTCAAATGCCGTGAAATAAGCAATGTCCACAATTAACCTATAATCATAATATTTATAATTTAAATTATTATATTTAACCATATTTAGAATGATTTAGTGAAGTAATCAGGGCAAAAGCAAAGAGTTCATGGTTACTTTGAACTAATCGGATTGTCTCGGCGGCTTTGCTTTCTTATCTGGATCATGACTAATAATCAAACTAGCTGACATGTCACTCAATAGTTTGAAAAATAATGCTGCGTTAACCTTAGAACACAACCGAAGAAGTGACCAACCAATCAAAGATGAACCAAAGAATTCTTTGGAATACTATAAAAGGAAGCCGCATAAGTGCGTCCTCTCTTCTTCTATTTCGAAGATTTATTCTCATTTAAACAGAGAAGTAACCGATTGAAATAAAACGAATTAACAAAAAATTTCTTTCTTTTTATAACACTACTGTTCTTATAATATTTTTGAAAAGTTTTATACAAAACTGACTGCTGGAGGACTAACTCGTGTGGAATTTAAATGGACATTTAATCAGTGCAAACAGGAAACGATGCTAGATTATCTTGACCTTTGCTCTGTTCAGATCTCTTATGACTCTTTTGTAATCCAAACGCTAACTGCTTGAAATTCTGTTCGATTCTTAGGTCCTCTTATGCTATGCTGATTGATTGCTTGAGAAGAAACGGTTTATAACTTCGACACTTTACTAACGTTTGCTTGAAAAAATCTTTAGAAGATGTTGATGACAAAATGTATTTCACGCTTTTTATGGTAATTGTTCAAATCACCTGTGTAATGTTTTACGTTTATGACGCTTTTTATTCATAAAGAACATCTCTAGGCTGACTTTGGTCGTCAGTCATCTGTTTTTTTTCTTTGTGGTTTTAAAAATCCTTGAAGGCAGACTCTAGCAATGCGATACTGGTACCTATTCGTGTCGCACTTTAGTTGACTTTAAATTACGTAAAAGCAGCTATATTAGAAATTAATGACTGACTTACTAGGTGTCAATGTGACACTGATACAATTCATTGTGGCATTTTTTTAGCAGAAATATATCGGCACTGCCGAGTGGCGGTATCCTCTGGCGCACGTACCGCAGTGCCACATTGGATATTTTTTTTTGTAGGCTTCATTTTATTTTTCAGATTAAAATAATGGATTTCTCTATCGAATCATATAGAAACGATGGTTCACTATGTGCAGAAAAGCAATATAGTATTTGTCCTCATCGTATAATTATAGTTGTATTGATAATACTGGCTATGTAAAAGAATCAAATAAGTTAAAAGAAAATTTGCACGACACATGGCAGCCACAGAATGCATTGAACCTTCGTTTCGATGAGAATTAAATGAATTCAACTATTGTGTTCAAATTGTTAACAAAACACACGCTTTCAATAACAGAAACGATTTCTGTTATTGAAGTGTATTTTTCTGAAATCGTCAAATATCCGTTAGATTAGGATTGAGGGAAACATGTCCTTATGAATCAAGCGATACCAAAATTTGTTTAAATGACTCTCTAATAATGTTAAGTCACACATTGTTCTTAGTATTTTCGTTTTTACTTGACCTTATAAGCATTCAGTTAATTGTATGTGACAATTAGTGTAGAGATCAAAAAATTTTGATTGTAGTTCACCTTTAATTGAGTTCAAATGTTTATCAAATTGATAACCGGTTTACTCATTGTTTCGTGATCATATCCGTACTGTGTTTTTAACTTTTTGTACGCATCCCATTCATCTGATCATACGGTTGTTTCAGATACAACATGCTTCAATATAATATGAAAAGTACTTAGATTATAATGATCATTCTCTATGCAAAATTCAGTTGATGAATCGCTGCTTTCTGTATTTGTTTTAGTCAAATTCTCTATAAACTACTTTCATAGCATGACTGAAACTGAATGATTTCTAAATAATTTCATTGGAACGAATGTTTGACAATCACAACTTTGAGGGAACATCTGCTAAACGATTATCAAAGAAAATTATCAACTGTTGAGTTCAACGACTAGTACGAGTAACAGAAATAAACATGGAACTTGTACACTTAATTTTATGAGAAGCTTTTTAATCTAAATTCAATATATAATTTTATAAATAATTCCATACATAACTCTCTTTTTATTTTATCCTTCTAAACTATCTCTGGTTTCACGGCGAAAAAATCGAATCATTTTAGTTCATATGGATGTTGAAATATAAGTACTACAAAATTCAGTGTTTTTAATGGATTAACATCTTTTCCTCTCTGTTATGTCTATTTTTTCAACGTTACCGCATTAAGCGATTTTAAAACAATATTACGGCTCTCGAAATATAGGACTGAATTTTTAATTCATTACGTAGCCCAAAGAAGAATTAAGTCAAGACGTACGTTTACAGATAAAATGAGGTTTTAAGAAGGTCGAGATTAAATTTTAAATTTAACAATCATTTGCAAATAAAATCTAAATTTTTGCTAGCAAATAAACAACAAATACTTCCTCATTTGGAGAGCGGTTAAGTTCTACATATGACTTTTTCAGATTAAACAACATTTGATTGTCAGTCTACAAGTTTTATTTTGTTCTTGATTTTAATACACTTTGTATGGTTAGATCTTGTCATAGCATTTATTAAAAATGAGTTTTTGTCAACCGAGATTCTAATTAAATATGGGCCTCGATAGAATTTATCGTAGGGTGTATATAATTTCTAGTATAAAGTCGAAACCATCTCTTTTTTTAAAAAGCATAGTCTTTTAGTGTGATATAGATATTTCTGAAAATCTCTAGTTCGTTGTAAAAACGCAATCAAATGGAGAGAAATTCTTTTCCAATTCACAACGTTCTTTTCGTAATGGAACAATGGCTTCGTTATGTATTTTTTTACGTTTTTGCATTTTATTGTTGTGATATTATCGACTTATGTCTCTCTTTTACAGAAATAATCAATAGAACAATATCTTTTTCAATCAAAATTTATGGTGTTCGAATGTGACGGATAGTTGACAGTAATGAAAAATGTGTTTCATTTAAGTGTCTAGTGAGAAAACAGACAGTTATTATGTGATTTTTTATACGTGTTGGTTAACCTATATAAATATATACAAATAATAGTTATATTACACATTCATTATCATTTCATTTAAGAAAAAAAATGATTAAATAAAAAAGTAGTTAAATGATCCATACAGAGTGAGTGGTGTTAAAATTAATCAACTTCATGTGAACGTACTAGTTGTGTAATATGATTTGAGATGGGATTTGAATATTTCTGATAGTAATACGATAATTTTAGACATTGTTTAACAATGAATCAAGTTTAAAATTATAAGAATTATATTTCTAGAATAATATTATTTAGTAAAAACGGTTAATGATTATTTAAAGACTTAATATACAACAATTTCGATATTACCCATTTTCATTTCTCTTTATGTAGTAATTATTTTCAGTATCGTGTATACTTTTTTGTATAGTTAGTTTTAAATAGATATTTTATTCTTTCTTCTCTTTTTTTTTTAGATGTCAACTGTTCTTGTACAATCATCACCATCATCAACTGGAGTGCCTCGTGATGGTCACTGGGTTGAAGAATTATTTCCTGCTACATACACAATTGGCGATTATCGTTCAACATTTAAACCTGCTCGTCTTGATCGTTATATGAACACATTATCTTCATTGGATGGTCCAACTTTGGAAAAAATTTATGAACAATCTTATTTATTTCATATGATAGAACGTTTAGTACGTCAAGATCAACTCGATCAACAAACAAGAACAAAACAATCACAGACTGATACCGATCATGAACATATTCTTGATATAAGATTAATAAGAAAATTTCTTGAAAAACATGTTAATTCTAAAGAAGAACGAAAAGGAATTGATGAAGAACAAACTGATGATCAATTATGGTCCTCGGATGATTTAAATACAATTCGTCAAGCTTATATGGGTTATAAAGAAGAATGTTTGAAACTACAAGTAGAAAATACTTATTATAAAAATTTAACAGAAACATTGCAAGAAAAATTAAAAACATGTGAACAAAAGACAGGTAAAGACGATTTATGAAAAATTGGTCCAAATATTCAAATTGTTGTTTCCATGTGTATTTGAAGAAATAAACAGCTAAACAGAAACCTTTTGTAAACAGCTTATTCGTGTAGAGCAAACATTTCTGAATAAAACTAGATATTGTCGAACTCTCGACGACAGTTTTCATCAAACTGCATTCAGTTTACGAAAGGTCTCTCCATCTCACAATCGTTAGAGAACGACCGAGGGACCTTTCGTAAACTGCATGCAGTTTGATGAAAACTGTCGTGGAGAGTTCGGCAATATCTAGTTTTATTCAGAAATGTTTGCTCTACACGAATGAGCTGTTTACAAAAGGTTTCCATTGGAATTCTGGAACTTGATTTTTTTGACTGTTCTAAAATCTTAGTTTTCTCAGAGCCTTGTTATTGCTGAAATTTTAATGGAACTTTTATATACACCTCATCTTATTGGAAACTCTTTCAGCTATTCAAATCACTTTTCCGATCTGTTCTCCCTATTACGATCGAGCAGAAAAATCACAAAACAAATCGTCTCTATGATTGTGTACAGGACTGTATTTTTATCTTGTTTTTCATTCTAATTATATTTAAATATGTATCTTATCTCATTTAGATGCATTACTAATCGAACATAGTGAACTGAAAAAAGTACATCAACGTTGGCAAATTCGAACGTACTCAGCTGAACAAGAGAATGAATCATCTGTAAAAGAATTATCAGATATTCGACAACATTTGGATGAATTAATTCAACAAAATGATCACTATCGTCGAGAACATATTCAACATGAAAAATTATTATTAGAAAAACAAACAAAATTAGAACAAATTGAAATGAAAATTGAACATTATGATAAACGATTACGAAAAGAATATGAACATAAATTAGAAATGTTAGAAAAAAAATTAAATGTTCAAAATGAAAAACATCAATTAATTCATCATGATTTAGAAACAAAATATTCTCAAGAACAAAATCTAAGAAAACAAAATTTATTAGCACTTGATCTTCTACGAAAACATGTTGCATCATCATCTTCACAATTAAATCAACATCAACAACATGAATATGATATTAAACATGTCAGATTCGTGAAAGAATGACAAATTATTTTTTATACTTTTTTTAGATAACAAATTTTCATATGTATATTCTAAATAACTGTCAAAATACGATACAGTAGTATATAAATCTCAAGAATTGTTTGAGTAAGAGTAAATGAAAAAAGTGTAAGAAAACAACAACTTTTTATGTCAAATTCCATAATTCAATGTTAACCTTACAGTTTTTTTAAGCATTCCAACTTTTACTGGCTTTACCTTTAGTCCGTTTTTTTTCCATGTGCTAGTTTTTCGTATATAAACCTCAAACCTTCTTTTGAAATCCATCAGATATTTTATTGTACAATGTGCTCATTACTACTGTCGTTGTTTTCTAAAAGAATACTTTTTTATTAGTTCAGTATCTGATCCGTTATTCAGTATTCAGACAAACTATTTCGTCCATTTTTAGTTCTTTTGTTTTTTATTTTGTAGAAAAAATAATTTAAAATAAATGAATTATAGTTTTGTATTTTTGATTTATTTTACGTCTAAATGAAAAGAAAGAGCAACATATCTGGAGACAGTTTTCATTAACGTACCACAGGATTGTTTCATTTTACTTACTTATCATTATTACAAATTTTTACTCTTAAACAGTGCCAAATTTACCGTGTCACCACCGAACATGTAATAACGCTATATATATTATCGAAATAGAGAATGAGTTGACTAAAAATCGAACATACAGTTCTAAAGTAGAACAATTCTATGTACTAGCGCATCCAAGATTTTTAAACTTCTATGAGTTTCATAAAAACGCTTAGACTATATACGTAAATTCATTAAAGATGAGTGATTTGTGCAACTTTTTTGCTAAAAAAAAAATCACAAATTTCGACAATATTGTTTGTTCTTTTGGATAATCTACTGAGTCTACAGTATAAGAGTTTTTCCTCTAGTGTTGATAAACTTTTCACGTATTGAACAGAAACCATCCGGTTAAGTAACATTGATTTTCGATGAAAAAAAACTGTCTTATTCTCTGAACACTTCTACTATTATCTATTTGCAATGAAAATCATCCAATATGATCGTTTATATTAATAGATGATGAAAAGTAATTTGTTACATGAGTTTGATTGATCTCATATTGGTGACATGATACTCTAATAGTTTGTTTAAAGTCAAGTGTGTACACAAATTATCTATCCTTCTAACTGACTGTGATTTGATTTATTGAACAAATATACATAGGCAGTATAGTATTAGTAACACATTAAACCCAGGTGGTTTATATCGTTGACAATTAGTATTGTAGTAATATTCTCTCACAAGTGTGTAGGCTATATTAAGTTTATATGTTTATATGTGTGTTTTTATTATTTGTATCTCTAAGTGATAGAAGAACTGTTTTTCATGTAAATAATACATTAAAAATGTATCAAATATGACAAGAACAGAACAAAATTTCTCTTTCGTTTTTCTTTTTCTCCCATATAGAATATCCCTCTAGTCTATATATTTACTTTATTGTTATAAAACATATTCATCATCTTCTGGCATTAAAAACTGTAACAACAGTACTAACCAACAATCAGCCTTGTATATCTATAAATAAATACTTATTCTCTTTCATGATAAATATATATGTGCGTGTGTGTGTCTTTATCAAGTATTTGCAAATATATGTAGAAAATGTAACAAAGAGAATGAATGTAGTCAAAACATTTATTCATTTTTATGATATGAACATATACAACTGAGACCACGCTTATTTTATTTTATTTTTTTCATAAAAATTTATTATTGTTATTATTATTATTATTTTGTATTTTATCTTTTATTATACTGTTTTTTTAGTTGGAAGAATGAAAAAATGAGAATTATGTTAGATTATGAGGGATGATGAAGGTATGTTGAAACAAATAGAATTGAATAAGAAGGTGATTTTGACATGATAGTCTTTATTGAGAATTTTTTCATAACTTCTTTTCTTTCAATGTGTTTATAACACAATTTATTTGTTTTGTTATTGATAAAGCAAATTAGTTTTCTTTTTTACATTTTTAGATTTACCGATTTGTTGGAATATTTTTACTACAGAATAAAAAAAATTTTGATTTAAAAAATCATTTCTATTTACTAACTTTTCAGTTGTTTTCACCGTTTAACTTGAGCCTAGACTTTTTTTTTTTGGTCAAACATTGCCTTTTCTGACAGGCAATATATCTATGGCACTTTATGGCAAGCGTCCTTCATAAATAATCTCACCATTTTCTGCGTTAGTTGTGGATTTTTTTTCCCTACTTTTACAACTCATTTCCGAGAAGATCATTCGTTAGAGAATTGTGATTTTTATAAAAAAAAGTCAAAAAACCCCAGAAGCAGTTATAGGTTTTTTTTGTTTTTTTTTTGAAGAAAGTGAAACATCGTAATATGATAGAATTAGAATACTGATAAGTGTCTCTTGAAATTTTTGTGTCAGATGTATACGTATACGTACCAACCTTTCTCCTGTATGAAAGTCAAGGGTTGGCCTATTCATACCAATTTGACCTTGTTACATTCCTTCTTTTTCTCTTATCCTTGTGTTCTTTCCATTGTTAGACAAAACGAAGAAGTAGGGAGAAAAATAAACGTTGATAAGAACAATTGGTATAAGATGTACAAAGACATATGATAGATGTCTAATTCGAGTTCTGTGAAATACATAAATTACTATCCTATCATTTCTACAAATATGAGAGTTACAACTGTTATTAAAAAATGTTCATTTGACTCTTTTTTTCCTAGAGAAATTCATTTTAGAATTTAATTTTTATTCCAGATTATGTGAATAAATGTACATGCCACTAATTTTTGATTAATTTTTTTTAATAAGAACTTTTACTGTGTAAATTGAATTATTCATTCTAACAGAGGAAAATGTCAAGTGGAACGAAGACGATCAAATGTGTCTGTGTGGGTGATGGAACTGTGGGTAAGTTTTCATCTTTTTTTCTTTAATATTAAATTTAAAGATTCTTAATATTGATCTTGAATTACTTTTTATATGCAGAGAAAAAACAATAATAACATTTTTTATGATATTTTCTTATTTTATTTGTTTAGGAAAAACATGTATGTTGATATCTTACACAACAAACTCATTTCCAACGAGTTATATTCCAACGGTATTTGATAATTATTCTGTAACCGTAATGATATCAAATGAACCATATACATTAGGTATGATCAATATTCTTCTCCATTTAGTCTTACATCTTATTTATATTGTTTTTTAATCTTTGTTTTAGCTTTATTTGATACCAGTGGCCAAGAAGGTATAATCATTTCTAAATTTATTTTATTTTTTTACTATATTTTATGTTTATTCTTTTAAGGTTTCGAACATATTAGATCAATAAGTTATTCTAATACCGATGTGTTTTTAGTATGTTACAGTGTTATGTCTCCAAGTTCATTTACAAATGCACAAAAAGTGTGGATACCAGAAATAAGACGGGCAAATCCCAAAACACCATTTGTAAGTATAAACAGGAGAAAATCGTTATTAAGTTCAGATGTTAGAATCTAATTCAAAATAATTTTAAAAATAGAGTTTTCAGATGTTTCTCATTGATAGAGAACAACTTTTATCTACAACAGGCATTAATAAACGCTGACGCCAAATGATTGGCTTAAAACTTTTTTCCATGAAAACCGTTCGTTTGTTGTCTACCTCTGAGGAAAGTAAACTGTTCCGCATCTGAACTTGTGTAAAAGCAGGAGGAGGATATGGAAGTGTTTGGTGTGGTGTATGAATGCTAGAGGAATTTATCCACTGGTTGTGTGAAAGGATCGATTGAATGACAAGGAGCGTATTAGCATTGTCAGTCAAGGTTTGCCACCATTAGTCAGGAAAAGTTTTATATCACACATCCGGGATAATACGTCCTATCACATGAGTTTTTTTGCAATGAAATGGTTTGAAAAAGCGCAATAGAATGTTAAAAAATGACTGAACATCAAAAACTGACAGACCGTTCTTAAAATATTGAACAATTAATTCGGCAACTATGACCGGATATTACATCAAAAACGTGTACAAAGTTGATACAGACAATGTGATGTCATCTTCAGTTAAAGGAGACACGGCTTTTTATAAAAAGGATTTTTGTGCACAACATGATACAGATGGTACTTTTATTAAATATCATATTTGGATAGAGCACTCAAAAGCATAAATTTAGATACTTATGCTAATAATGAGCAATCGAGATGATTAACAGATAAAAGCGAACATGTAGTCTTTTGTTAATTGCACAATTATGTGTTCTTTACGAGATTTCTTTGTTATTTTCTTCAAAAAAAAAGCGTCCCTCATTTTTATATCATCTCACTGGAAACTTTTTCTTTCACATTTAAGAAAAAAACATGGTATTCCTGATAAAATCATAATAGATTCGAATACAGTATTTAACTGACTAAAAACAGAGATATAACATATTACTTTTCTTATCTATATTTTAGGTATTGATCGGAACAAAAATTGATTTGAGACGAAATGAGGAAGAAATTGAAAAATTAGCTAAGTCAAAATTGAAACCGATTACACGTGAACAAGGTGAAAAAATGGCAAGAGAATTTCGTGCCTATGCCTATGTTGAATGTTCAGCATTGACACAAGAAAATTTAAAACAAACATTTGATAATGCAATATTAGCCGCACTTGAACCAAAGAAAAATCAAAGACCATCATCTGATTGTTGTAGTTGTTTACTTTCATAAAAAAGAGAAAAAAAAAAAAGGAATTCCGTTTCATATACACAGTGACAAAGATCTGATTTGACAGTGATACTCAGTTGCCTCTCTACAAAATATAATGCTTAATTCATTAAATCAACCTTCGTCAGCTTCAAGTTTGACTTTTGAATGCAGATATTTTTTCTACAATTATCAAAAACAAAAAAACAAAAAAAAGAAACCTTTCTGCTAGTCGCATGTTTGCTTCAAAAAAAAAAATAATAATAATAATGGATGGTGTATGTGGTTAAATCATTACCATCCGTCCATTGCTATTTGCTTGTTTTTTTTACACTATTTGATATTCTTAAAGTCAGACATCTATGTTTTTTGTTGTACGTTTTTTTTCTTTTTTTTTTCTCGTATTATTATATTATTGGTTCAGTATTTTGTATTTCTTTTTTTTCACGTATTGGTTACGAGCTAAACGTTGTTATTGAAGTGCTGTTATTCATGTTGTCTTTTTTATTCTTATGCGAACAAATTATTTGGGGATCTTGAATCTTGTTTATACATTATTGAAATAGTTCTTGGTTTTTTTTTAAATGTAATATGCTAGGAAAAAAAAATAAAAACAATTTTATCGCGATTAGAGATGCTAGACTTTTTGTTGTTATTTGATTGAATCTAATGTCTCGTCAAATAGTAAGATTTTTTACCGACTCAAAAAAAACAAAAAGAAGAATATTGACTATCATACAAGACTTGGCGCATCTTTCGAAGAATATCCAATTGCCCAAAGATGCTGATAATGTTCAAGCAATCATCTTATTTTTGCATTTCTTTCTTTTTTTGTATTAGTATCTAAACTGAGTTATTCGTTCATCATAAGTTATCTCCTTTTTCATTATTTGCTTTCCACTAATGTTTTCTGTTAATTCTATGGTTTCAGTCAAGATTTTAACAATTCAATTTGTAAAATGTATATTTATCCATCATACATTGTTAATCTGTCTGTATAGTTCATTTAAAATATTTGAAAAATTATATGAACTCCGGACGCTATTGAGCAATATGAACGATATTTTCAAGATGTTGACACCATTATCACGAATTATAATTATAAGTAACGATAAAAATGGGTTCAAAGACTCCATTTTGATCTCGGGTTTATCCATGCCCTTCCATTCAATAGTGTCCGTGAGGCAAATTGCCTTAAACAAAGTTTCGAGGAGTACATTGTTAAATTTTAGCAAATTCTAATCGAAAAAGAATGGATTGAAGATTGAAAACTAGAGCCTCCAGTCGAAAGAGAAGAGAGACAAGAGGAACACTACATAAAAGGATGAATGTTTATTTGTTAATTGTTATCAAATACTACTTTGGAAGAAGGATACTTTGAATTCCTAGAAGGCAGGATCTATCGAATATCAATAGTTTCGCTGAGTAACTTTGAATAATGTTTATCTTTTCTGACAATATAGATAAATAGTTTTTTTAATCAATTGGTATGTGAAATAAATGCAGCATTGTATATTCTACAAATTTTCACAAAGGAAAATTTTTTTTCATTGAATACGCGGTGAAAAAAATAGTAAGGCCGGTCTAAACCGAATATCAACGGGATTTTTCGAAAATTTCTTTTTCATTAAAATCATAGCTCAGTTACAATCATTTCCTGAAAGCTTTTCAAATATGCCATTATTATTAGTTGTCGAGATAATTTTTTAATCTCTGATGCTTAGAGAGAGGCATGTTTTACGATTTTTTCTGTTATCAGAGCGTTCCAGTCAAATTAAGTAGTTACCTAGAATTTTGATTGATTGTTTTTTGATCGAATAAAGTATCAAAATAAGGTACCGAGATGTGAAAAGTTTTTTAGTAATTGAATTCTCCATATAATCAATTCAAATGTGCCAGTTTAGTGTGGTCACAGATTATAATTTTCATAACAGTCAAATGGTGAAACTTATCCTGATCCCATCAAGAATCTATAACTATCACTAAGGCAACTACATTCAAGAGCAGAATTTTTTCGTGTCGTCAAATGTATATAAGCAGTTAAGTCAGTTACTGAAAGATAAAGCGCAGAAAGAAACTTCAATAATAGACAGAATACCAAACACATCAATTATCAGTTCATTCTCTTCGTTTCGCTCTAGTTTCTCTGCCAAAGCGAACAATATGCAGTGAAACTATCTGAAGTTTACTATAGCAATAAAATTTTCTTTTTATAAACATTACATATGATACATTTGAAGTGTAGTGTTCTTCATAAAACCAATTGGGCTCATGACCAAAACAGAAAGAAAATCACAAATTTCGAGACTTTGAGCGCGAGACGATTTTAAATTTTTAACCTGATATTTAATTCGCCGCGAGCTAATAGGTCGGTGCTATCCGCTGTACTGATCTATACATCGACAATCTTCTAACTTTTGGTATATGGATATATCACATAACAAGCAGCCATGAACTGACATCATCTATATGTACAATCTGCGTCTTCCTCAGTGCTGGGCGAGTCGCATTTTTTTAATGACTCTGACTTGACTCTGACTCGAAAATTGGAAGACGTTGACTCGACTGTTTGACTCATTCGAAAAAAATTCTATTCATTAAGTGCTTTGCATACATTTCTTCTTGTATAAATTTGGGTTATTTCTGAATACTCTTTCTTATTCTATTTTATTGTTACGTTTCAACATCAAAGACGCCTTCGTCAGACAAAAGTAGAATAAATGTGAAGAACATATAATTAATTAGAG